CAACTTAACAGTTTCGAGCTGTAGAAAAATTTGTTCTACATGTCTAGTCTATGTGTTCTCTGGTCAGTGGTTTGAGCTAATCAACGTATATATATTTGCTAATTTATAAATTTACTTTAAACTGTTCTCTATATATTTAATTAATTCGCAGATTTAATTATGTATAATTCATTTCATAACATAATTTAGAAACATTTGATTTAATTTTTCAATATAGTTTAGTATCCCTGGTATCTGATCAGCGTACCATCTCTTTGACCACCTGTGGCAATTTGTTTTTGTTGACATGGTCAAAAGAAAGTTTTTGAGCGAAGGGCCAATGGCTTGAATTCATGGTCAAAGGTGAGACTGTCTTATAAATTATTAGCTAGCTCGAATATAATTATTGGAATATTTTCAGTCCAATTGGCTTGGCCAGCGCAATGAATCTTAGAGCTTGTTTGGCCACGGCCAATGTCTTTGTTGGATGTTGTTCTGCTGTTGTATTTCTGGAATTGATCGTCAAATTGGACCCGGGTGCAGGTAATTTGGTTACCGCTGGACAGTTTGCATTTATTGCCTTGGAGGGATTCATCTTCACCTCCAAATTCGGCACCGTGAAACGTGTGATAAGTCTGCGGGATTATGGTCTGCTTGTGATAATGTTCTTTCTGACAAGTGTGTGCAATAACTATGTGTTCCATCTGAATGTGCCCATGACGCTGCACATGATCATACGTGGAGGCAGTCTGATATCGAACATGTGCCTTGGCACCATAGTCCTCAAACGTCAGTATCGGCTTGAACAGTATATAGCAGTCATCATGATTACCGTGGGCATTTTCATCTGCACGTATTTCTCTAGCCAGGATGTGGCAGTGGATAAACGGCATGGCGATGGTGACGCAGAAGCAAACATATTTTGGTGGCTAGTTGGTGTGCTGCTCCTGGTGCTGGCGCTATTCATCTCCTCGTACATGGGCATCACACAGGAGCTGCTGTATCGCAAACATGGCAAGTGCGCCCGCGAGGCACTGTTCTACACCCACCTGTTGCCGCTGCCCGCGTTCTTCTTTATGTATGACAACATCAAAGCGCATTGGGCTGTGGCGATGGCAAGTGAAACCTATCGATTCGAATGGCTGGGTGATGTGGCTGTGCCCCTGCTGCTCCTCTATTTGATTGGGAATATTCTGATGCAGCATTTGTGCATTAGCTCTGTTTATTTCCTGACCACTGAGTGCAGCTCCCTGACCGTCACCTTGATTCTGACATTGCGCAAATTCGTATCGTTAGTTTTTTCGATTGTCTACTTTCGCAATCCGTTCACAATCTATCACTGGCTGGGCACCGTGCTCGTCTTTGTGGGCACTCTGATGTTCGCCAATGTCCTTAGTCTTCCAGTTGGTCGTTTGAGAAGAAACGCTGTGAAAAGTGATTAAGCATTCGAACACATTCTCGAAATGTTTACGAGTTTAAACATTTAATGATGATTTCATTTACATTTAAGTACAATATAAGAATATTCGAAATAAAAGTACCAGATTCTCCTAGGACTTTAAAAGTAAACATAAACTTTACAATGGATTTCTTTATATTTTGTGTGGACAAGTGGTTCTGTTGTTTCTTTGGCTTTGACTTGTCCTGTGATGATACTCGATATAAATACTAAGACATACACATAAAATATAAATACATAAATGCACTGGTTGCCCGATGCTAAAAATTGTGAATTCCAATTTCCTTTGAAAATGTAATACTGCTGCAGCTCAGCCGCTCGCTGGGATGTAATCCGTGTCCTTCTGCCTACGTGGGTTGTGTTCCGGCCTCACGTTGCAGCCATTTGACAATCGAGTTGTAGTTGCGGTTCATCCACTCGACGTTAATGTCGACTTGTTCCAAAATCTGTTGAAGCGGCCTGTCATACGCCCAGCGCGCATCTCGGACAAAGTCTTCTAGCTCGGCCAGTTGGAATTTGGAGTTCATGCGCTTGCTGGCAAACTTGAGCAACGTGTGGATGTTGGATATCTGCGAGCCCATGCTGGAATTGAATAGGAATTATATGAGGCTTTGCTGGTGCACTTCTGTAGGTCAGCTTACTAAGTGTTTATCTCCTGCCAGTTGTTGCGCAAATAATCAAACGCAATCTGCTGACCCACCACTGTGGTGGAGACGGCGGCAAAGACACGGAAGACATCCTGCTTGCGTATGTGCTGGCCGGCAATGGACCGACGCAGGTATCTGTACAGCAACCACGGCTCCTTGGAGCAGCCCAGCGCGCTCAGCAGCAACTCCTTCTCCGCCGGCACATTCGTCTTCACATAGCGCTCGAAGGCAAAGTCCCACTCGTGCTCCGTGCCGTACTGGATGGCCGCGCAGTAAACGATGCCGCGCATATTTGGATTGATTCTGTAGAAATAAACAAATTTACATTTAATTATATATTCAAACTTCATCAATTTCGGCCAATCGAACATACGGGTTGTAGGTATCGGGATTGGGCGCTTGTACCCAGTTTTGGAATTGTTTGGTGCTATCCGAGATGCATTGCTGTTGGCCCAGATGACAGGCCATGCTCAATATTTCGAAGCGCTTCAGCAGCAGCGGAATGTTTTCGTTGTCGCTCTGCGAGTCCTTGTCCACCACCTCGTTGTACACCCTGCTCAGCAGTTTCAATAGGTAGTTCTGGAAATTTAACCAAGGTGAGATCCATATGCTTCGACTCTGCTAGCAAACAGTTTACATACCTTAAGCAAATCGTAATCACCCGAGTTAATAAACATGGAATCGATAAAGTTAAAGTTGGTAATCGCTGCCTTCCAGGCCACGCGGTTCGTTTCGTATGCCAGATAGCGAGTTAGATTCAAGGCCGTGTCATAGGACAGATAGGAGCCGCGGGCCAAATTCATGACGTCATCGATGAGCTGGGCTCGATTGGCGGGCGCGATTTGATCGAGCTGCGTCGCGTCCATCAGATGCTGAGTTATTGCACGCCAGTTGTCCAAGTCGTAGTTGACCCGGTAAAAGCCCGTTTGCTGTATATTGAATATAAACCATTTGGCCGTGGAGAGGTTGCGATTGTTGAGCTCATAAGTTTTTGTGCACGGTATCCACGTTGTGGGCCGAGTATTGTCAAAATGAAGCTCGTCCGCGGTCGTAAACGTGATGGGTATCCACCAAAGCGGATGGCCGTTCGCATGGCTGCTGTTGCCGTAGACGAAACGCTCCTGGTCCAGGCGTACAGCGTCCGAATTGGGGTGCCGGGAGATCTTCACCATTGGATAGCCAGCTTGCAGCGTCCAGGTATCCATGATGGCCTTCACACTTGTGCTGCTATCCAGCAGACCTGATGTTTTCGCTTCGTCTGTGAGGAAGCGCCACAGATCGTCCTGGGTGGCGGATTTGTATGCCATCTCACTCAAATACTTACTCAGTCCTCGCCTGAATACCGTATCAGTGAGAAAATGGCTCATCATGCGGATCACAGTGGAGCCTTTTGCATATGAAATCCGATCGAACAGCTCGAAAATCTCCTGCGGATTGCCGACCTCCTGCGAGATCTTATGCGTAGAGGTGAGCGCATCTAATTGAAATACAGTTTGCATTTCATTAACCACAAACTCATCGAGCAGCTTCCATTCGGGCGCCACGGCATTCGCAGTCAGATACTCCATGTAGCTGGCGAAGCCTTCGTTCAGCCAAATATCCGACCACCAACTGGGCGTGACCAGATTACCGAACCACTGGTGGGCCAGCTCGTGCCCGACCACAGAGGCAATGTGCTGCTTGTTGCTGGCGGTGGCCACGCCCTTGTCGTACAGCATGGCCGTCTCCCGGAATGTGATGAGGCCCCAGTTCTCCATGGCGCCAGCCTGAAATTCCGGCAGCGCTATCATATCGATCTTCGGCAACGGAAATGGGATGCCGAAAAAGCTCTGCAGAAAGTCCAGAATCTTCGGGCCCACGCTCAACGCATACTCGGCTGATTTGATGGCATCGGCTCGAGCCCAGACCGAAAAGTTGCCAGATGAGATGTGCTTGAAGTCGGTGATGGCGAAGGCCACCAGGTAGGTGGACATGGGCAGCGACTCGGCAAAGTGATCCCAGACATAATTGGCCAACGATTCGCTGCGAGAAATTTTATGTTATTAGGCATAATTATTATTTTGTCAATGATTCTTACTGATTGTTGCTGTAGATAATAGGCATGTTGGAGATGCTGGTCAGATGTCGAGGACGCGCTATGTGCAGCGTAAAATTCGCCTTCAGCGCCGGCTCATCGAAACAGGGAAAGGCACGTCGTGCGTCCGTGGCCTGGAACTGTGTAGAGGCCAGCCACCTGAGAAAGTGAAAAGGATAAAAATCATGTTTATAATGAATAAAATGTGTTTTTGTTGGTTTGTTAACCTTTTCTATGCTTAAGAAATAAATCCCTTTACGGCGGAATTCTATAGGAACCTGTTTTGGGGTTCATTTTATACAACATTTACACGTCTAATTTTTCTAGACTTATTCAGCTCAAACCTATTATGATACGTAGCTCACCTGGTCTCATTGAGCACCTCATAGGAGCTGCGGTAGAAGCCCTGCAAGTAGTCCTTTATAATGCCGGTGTAGCGAATGTGCACCACGTATTCCGTGCCGCGGCGTAGTTTGTCGTACAGCTGGATGATGAAGAACTGCTTGGCCCCCACCAGATACTGCTTGTGGATGCGCAGGCTGTTCTCTTCCCATCCGTCCTTGCCGCCAGGCAGTGCCCGATAGACGGCCACATCGTTGCGTGTGATGTTCAGGTCCTCGACGTGCATGGTTATGTTGTAGCAATCCTCGAGCACTCGCACGCGTATCTGAACGCTGCCCGCGAAGCTGAAGTTGCCGCTCATCTCGGGCTCCAATGTGATGTTGTATTTGAGGGGCTGGATGGAGGTCGGCAGGCGAACATCCCGATCGTATTTGGACCCACCGCTGGCACCTTTCGAATGCTTCGAGTTGCGCAAGTGGACGCTGGTGCAGATTATGTTCTCGCCGGGCGCCGCCTCCAGGTGTCCGCAAGTCGCGAAATTGTAAACGATGAAGCCAACGGCGAGCAGTGTGCAAACGAAGAAGGACGCCAGCAGCACCGCCGTCGTCAGGGACACGCTATAACGGCGTCCCATGCCTGAGAATGTGGTTGTGGCTGCTGGCGCGTTGCTGCTGGCCGGCACTGCATGGGCATTGCCGTGTCTGTTCTCCAGGCTGAGATTCTCGTGCAGGGGCATTTCTTTGACTACCATGTCGATGCTTTGGCCCTAACCTGTGCAGAAGAAGATGCCATTGATTAGTTGTGAGTGTGTGGATGGTGTGGCGGACTACACCACTTCCGCTTCCACTTCCGTCACAATTTGCAATGCCTAAACGAAAGCTTGTGTTGTTGTGGTTGTGTAACTCATGTGGTAACTCAATATGCATCTGCAGGTTGCAGGTTGCAGGTTGCAGTTGCACGTTATTTATCAATCCCAGCAACGACCACTTCAGTGGTTTCCTTCAACCCTCGCGACGCGGGCTGATCAAATCGTGCATGCATGCACGTTCCTTGCGGTCAAGATAAGGGGTTGTAAGTGATATTTAATGCTAATATGTGTGCATAATTAAATAATTTCGCCCTTCAGAAAAGTTCTAGTTCACTAGGTTTATCGAATTTCCCCCCTACATATTGCATTTAGAAGGGAAATTGTCCAGCATGCAAACGAGTTTATCAAAACCAATAAATGGAATATAATTCTTAGCAAGTCAATATGGTACTTGTATTTCCTCTAAGTATTTCCCCTGCTTATTATACCCTGAACCCATTGAAAATGGGAAATCAGGGTATAATGTTTTTGTG